TCGACGAAACCAAAATTGCGCGATATTGACTGTTACAGTATCAGGACCATAAACACTATTCACATTTTCAGCCGCCTGGCTTGCGTTTTCGCCTTTATCGAAGAAAAACTGTAAAATATGGCGTATTTTCTCTTTGTTGGTGTCCATCTTTGACACGCGCTCAAACAATACTGACTCAAGCAATCACAAAACTGTCTGAGAAGTTTTTTTAGTACGAAATCTTATCTTTCTAACGCCATTTGGCGTAATCCGATCGCACTTATACAACGCGAGATACAGATTACTAAAGCCATCTATTGGAAAAATAATAGATTTCTTTTTACTACACCTAATATTTATGTTAATAATTGCAAATTTTTATTCGATAATGTCAATTATCTCCAGGCCTACGATGCCCCATTAATATGTAATCACGAAAATTTGCCCAAGATCGTCGTTTTTAATAGTATCTCGTCGGTGTGATAAAGTCAATATTCGATGTTAAATTGTCGAAAATTTTAAAACAACAGTCGATAACATCGGTACTCTTTAATTATCACCGAGCTTTCAATGATAATCACAAAAATTTACCTAATATCGGTAATGTAACTTAATAATTGTAATTGTATTGTAACGTCCTGGATTAGAACTTACAATGCTCCGCTTTGTTTTCCGGTCAATATGCGGCACAGACTTTACCAGGGGACGCCCGGAGCGCGGCAACTGATCGAGATGAAATGGTTTTCACTCATAAAAAAAAATGACGAAACCATATAACACTGAGGGTTCGGTGAACGCAGTGAACTCAGTGAACTCAGTGAACTCAGTGGGCGCAGTGAATATATTTAGAATAAAACTCAGTGAACGCAGTGAATATATTTAGAATAAAACTCAGTGAACGCAGTGAAACTTGAAATGTATTCGGTGAATATACGCGATTGAAATTTAGATTACGCGGTAGAATAAAAACGTGCAATCAGCACGGGAGTCAGTTAGCAACTGCCAGGGCGTTGTCGATCGTCTTCTTTGTATGCCTCGGTCCTTTCGTTAGACTCAATATTTTGGATAGATAATCATGGTATGCGGCTCTGTTTACTTCCAGCATCGATCGATAGCTCCTCTTGAGGCGTAATGGTACTTGATGTTTGCGCAGTGTGATACATGGATTTTCTTAATATTAATTATATTTTATATTTAACAATATGAAAAGGGGAATAATGGAATAATAATAAAAGATAGTTAACAGAATTAAAATATAATGAAAGAGACTTAGTAATTTAAAACTAATAAAATATTTGCATGTCGTTGGGCATGTCTGTGTTATTCGCAATTATATACTTATATTAAAATAATACAATAATGATAAAATACAGCAATAATAAAATAGTCATAAAAGTAGTTATAGAGATTAAAAATGCGCGGGTTCAAGCCGGCATTCCTAAAACCATTAACAAGGTAGAATATAGAGGGAAAAATCGGACGACGTTACAGTATCTTAATATTATCATACAATATATAATAATTTATATAATTTAATATATAAATAATATATAGTCTACAGACATAATTTGAACGTAATCTATATTTGTTATATTTATGGTAAGTAACTACAAATTTATGTATCAGGATTTATGTATCTTGTGTAAAAAACTGAAACAAACAAATATGAAAAATATATTTTCCAATATATTGATATCTTGAAATTGAAACTTGACATTACCATCACACGAGGTCTCTAAATTCATCTTTCGGTGAGAGAGCCACCGGCTGTCAGTGAATTTCTCGCGAAGAAGGTCACACGAGTGTCTTTGAGACATATCGGGCGTGAGAGTGCTCTTCTCGTGACAATTTTCACGACCATTTGACGCGTGACGTCCACTCACTACTGCCGTCGACATGCTGCCTCGATTCCTCAGGCCCGTCGTAAATGTGAGCCAGCAAGGCGCAAAACTATTATCCGAGCGCCATGGTAAAGTATCACTACAGTGAACCATAAAACTTTAATCTGTTTTCTAAGAAGTGAGAATCGGTCGGCAATTAATTATCATTAATATATCCTGTGAGAGTAATGTGTAATATTTTATTACCTTGCTAGAGATTCCATGTGCGGATAGCGATTCAGTGGAGCAATAAATCCATCTTTGAAAAGTTATCTTTCAGAATCTTATTTCTCATGTAAATCTGTATCGATATATATTCTTTTTTATGCACGCAACACACACACACACGCGCGCGCGCGCGCGCTCACACACACACACATATATATACAATATATGTGACAAGTTCACATCCTCTTATATTAATATACAAGTCGCTAGTTATGGCTATATTTGCTATATCTCTTGGGATCGTTGGTTCATATGATGAATGCGAAAAGAGAATCTTTAATGACCTTTGACGACACGTACGGCGCGATGGGAGAAATTAAGAGATATTGCTTGTCACCTATCATATATCATTGAACCATGAGTGCCATAATCGGAACATTGTTATGCAACTGCAAATTATTCAGCTCCAATGCTGACATGTTACATTGGCCCATCACATTTTCGAAACCTGATTGCGAAAAAAGAATAATTCCGATGCTTTGTTATACCTACATATTTTTATATGAATCTTTTATATGAAAAAATGAGCTATGAAATAAATTAAAATAAATATATTGAAATCAACAGATAAGAATTGGAGGAATTTTTAAGCGTTAATTGCAAATACAATTATTTTAAAGATTTAACAGAGTATTACTTTCTTAATTAAACTCCTCACCTGGATTAAGTTCTAGGCAAATTGTTTTTTTTTCAAAATGTTAAAATTCTAACTGTATTCTTCTTTTCGCAGCGCGATGCAAAAGTCAGTGTCATGGGAGCAAGCGGTGGTATTGACCAGCCACTATCTTTGCTTTTCAAACAGTTTCCTCTTGTTACGGAATTTATTATCGGGAATTTATACGGGATCTATTATCACTATATGATATTGTGAACATACCTGATATCGCTACCGATCTCTCACATATGAATACTCCTGCAAAAGTTAAAGCCTATAATGGTCCGCAGCAGCTCAAAGATTCTCTTAAAGGTTCTCAGGTATGTGTTATCATTATGATACAAAAGATTATATTAGTCAATATTTGATAGATACAGAATGTTTACAACATAAATATCTAATAGTTACATTTACAAATAGTTATTTTTATCTAACTCAATAGATTGAAATTAATCGATCTCGTTTTAAATTTTCACGATTTATTTATTCATATGCATTACTTTTAGGTTGTTATTATACCTGCGGGCGTTCCACGCAAACCAGGCATGACACGTGATGATCTGTTTAATACGAATGCCTCCATCGTCCGGGATCTTGCCGCTGCGGTGGCTAAAGTTGCGCCAAGGGCTTTCATAGCATCATCTCAAATCCGGTCAACAGCAAAGTACCAATTGCGAGTGAAGTGCTACAAAAGGCGGGCGTTTACGATCCTAACCGCGTATTCGGAGTGACTACTTTGGATATTGTCAGAGCAAACACCTTCATCGCGGAAGCTAAGGTATTCAATATAGCAATATACATACATAAAATAATCTTTAACTTATGTTCCTAACACAAACAAAATTACCTCGGCACTAAATTGGATATATACGTTACGAAAGTCACTATAGCAACCTTAATAAATTAAGACTTCATCTGTCTTGATCAACATATATTAATTACATTTTTTTTTCACCTATTTCTCAAGTACATTTAACTTCAGATTGTTCTATATGCAAGGGATTAAACATGATAATATATATACATATGTATAAACATGATAATATACATATGTATAAATAAGAAAGAAGATTAATAAAATTTAACAATGCGTTTGCGGATAAAGCCATATTCAATCAGGGATCTTAACGCTTAATATTTTTGTGTAAATTTTTACACTTTCCAGTTAAACAAATTGTACCTTGTATCAAGTATAGCTCTCTTTATTTATATCATTTGTGTTGAACATTTTTCGATCTATTTTCAATATTGTTAATAAGATTTATTCTTTGTCTTTAACATAATGATCCTATACTATTATATATATAAATGTAATGAATAATTAAAAACGTCGAATGCAACAGTATTAATTTTCGTTTAATGAGATATTAATTGGAGCGATATAAATACTTATTTTCCATCTTTCATAAAAAAAAAAAGAAAAGAGTTGAGATATCAACAATACTGAAATTGTTGTTTTTTTATGGCCTTGATCCACAAAAAGTCAACGTCCCAGTCATTGGCGGACATAGTAGCATCACTATTATCCCGTTGATCTCGCAGTGCACACCATCGATTTCCTTCCCAGATAATCAGCTGAAAGCGCTTACTGAGAGGATTCAAAAGGCCGGTACCGAGGTCGTTAAAGCTAAAGCAGGAACTGGATCCGCAACTTTGTCCATGGCGTTTGCTGGCGCACGATTTGGCCTTTTATTAATAAGAGCGTTGAATGGGGAAACGGATATCATCGAGTGCTCGTCAAGTCGAATGTCACTGATGCCAAATATTTTTCTACGCCGATACTTCTGGGCGTAAGTAAAGACATCGAAATAAACTGCTTAACACTGCATCAATACATGGTACATTTTGAAAAGAAATGACTTCAAATAAAACATTATCTTCTCTTCATATACATGATTTGTTTTTTAATCAATATAAAAATGTATTTTTTATTATATTGTCTGTTCTTAGAATAATATGACATACAATTCAATTTTTAAGAAATATTCGAAAATTTCTTAAGAAGACTATTCCCAATAAAAATGTATAAAAGTTTTATTTTATTATGTAATTACATCATCATAAAAAAAAGATGAAAATTTTCATTTGGAATTTATTTGAAATTTCAGAAAAATGTAATTGAGAAGAATTTGGGATTAGGTAAACTAAGCAGCTTTGAGCAGAAATTACTGGACGCCGCCATCCCGGAGTTTAAGAAAAATATTCAAAAGGGAGAAAACTTTGTGAATTATAAAAAGTGAGATCTCTGTCGGGCCTAGCTGGATAGAACGTGATTTCAACTAAACGTAAGAAAGTTTCTTCCTCTTTTATCAGATTTTACACTTATATTTAATATGTGATATTACTATACTCTAGTTCTGTTCAGGATTGATGTTGTTCATGATTTCAAGATTGGAAAAGACTTTGGCGTGCGGTATACAGAATTTGATATGGATATAAATTCACATAGAAATATTTAAGCACTAAGATCCGCTTAGACCGAATATAAGGTTTCTTATTTAATTAATTTTATATTTGTTCTCTGTCATAAATTAAATTTAAGTTCAAATTTTCTTCGAATGAAAGTTCAACTGTATATTATGACTTTGATAATCAGATGTCATAAATTTACTTTAAAGTCAATTTTTAAACAATAGACTATACAAGAAGATAAACTTAAATACGACGAAATTATAATCGATTCAATTTTCATCTTTTTCAAATTGTAAGAATTAGAAAAAGAAGATATTAAAGTTAAATCTGCATTGATAGAAATGAACATTAATCGATAGATTTATATGCGCATGACGGGAAGCCAGAGTTATCGTATGTAAACACCGAACCACAATAATATACAAGTAGACAACTTTGAAATGGACAGTAATGAACTCTCAAGCGGATACAATAATTCTCCCGTATCCGCAATTCGTACGAAAGTGTAGCACAAAAA